AATCCACCACCTCACATCCTACCACAACTACTCGTAAGAAAATTTTATTTTACACCATCTCTTTATATCTTTATCTCTCTCCCTCTTCCCTCTTTTATTTATTTTCTCTTTCTCTCTCTCTCTCTCTCTCTCACACCATGCTCAACCTTTCCGTTTACAATTTTCTCATTTTAGTCATTAACCCTCACTCTATCAGACTCTCACACACACACTCTTTCTCTCTTACTCTCTCTCTCTCTCTCTCTCTCCCTCTTTCTCTCCATCTATATCTCTCTTCGCCTTTTCTCTCTCTTTCGATTGCTATTTTTATTTTACTTTGCTACAACGTGAAGCATCATATTGTTCTCGGCAGCCACTGAGGCGTCACAAGCTTGGAATTGAATAACGTGTGATCATTTGTACAGTAAGATTTGGTAACGTTACTTTGGCAAAAGTGAAAAATAAATGTATTTTGCCTCTCGAAAGTTTTATCAGGTGTTCATATCTTATTTATTCTCCAGAATCGACTACAACACAAGACACCACAACGATGTCCACCACGGAATCCACTACCTCACATCCAACCACAACTACTCGTAAGAAAACTTCATTTACACCATATCTCTCTCTTTCTCTCTCTGTCTCTCTCTCTTCTCTCTTTTCTCTCTCTCTTTTTTCTCTCTCTCACCATACTCACCCTTTACGTGTACAATTTTCTTATTTAAGTCATTAACGCTCATTCTCTCTCTCTCTCTCTCTCTCTCTCTCTCTCTCTCTTCTCTCTTTTATTTTTTTTTCTCTCTCTCTTACCATGCTCAAACTTTCCGTTTACAATTTTCTAATTTTAGTCATTAACCCTCACTCTATCAGACTCTCACACACACACTCTTTCTCTCTTAATCTGTCTTTCTCTCTCTCTCTCTCTATCTGTCTCTTCTCTTCTCTCTTTTCTCTCTCTCTCTTTTTTCTCTCTCTCTCACCATACTCACCCTTTACGTGTACAATTTTCTTATTAAAGTCATTAACGCTCATTCTCTCTCTCTCTCTCTCTCTCTCTCTTCTCTCTTTTATTTTTTTTCTCTCTCTCTTACCGTGCTCAAACTTTCCGTTTACAATTTTCTAATTTTAGTCATTAACCCTCTCTCTCACACACACTCTCTCTGTCTCTCTCTCTCTCTCTTTCTCTCTCTCTCTTCTCTATTTTCTCTCTCTCTATCACCATGCTCAACCTTTCCGTTAATAATTTTCTCATTTTAGTCATTAACCCTCACTCTCTCAGACTCTCTCTCTCTCTCTCTCTCTCTTTCTCTATTATAATTTCACTTTGCTACAAAGTGTAGCATCATATTCTTCTCGGCAGCCACTCGACTCAGGCGTCACAAGCTAGGAACTGAATATCATGTGATGATTTGTACAGTTAGATTTGTTAACGTTTGGCAAAAATGAAAATAAACGTATTTTGCCCCCAGATAGTATCATCAGGTGTTTATATCACATTTCTTTTTCAGAATCAACTACTACACAAGACGCCACAACGATGTCCACGACGGAATCCGCCACCTCACATCCTACCACAACTACTCGTAAGAAAACTACATTTACACCATATCTCTCTCCATCTCTCTCTCTCTCTCTCTCTCTATCTCCCCCTCTGTCTCTGTCTCTCTCTCTCTCTCTCACCATGCTCAACATTTCCGTTTACAATTTTCTCATTTTAGTCATTAACCCTTACTCTATCAGACTCTCACACACACACTCTTTCTCTCTTACTCTCTCTCTCTCTCTCTCTCTCCCTCTTCCCTCTTTTATTTATTTTCTCTTTCTCTCTCTCTCTCTCTCTCTCTCACACCATGCTCAACCTTTCCGTTTACAATTTTCTCATTTTAGTCATTAACCCTCACTCTATCAGACTCTCACACACACACTCTTTCTCTCTTACTCTCTCTCTCTCTCTCTCTCTCCCTCTTTCTCTCCATCTATATCTCTCTTCGCCTTTTCTCTCTCTTTCGATTGCTATTTTTATTTTACTTTGCTACAACGTGAAGCATCATATTGTTCTCGGCAGCCACTGAGGCGTCACAAGCTTGGAATTGAATAACGTGTGATCATTTGTACAGTAAGATTTGGTAACGTTACTTTGGCAAAAGTGAAAAATAAATGTATTTTGCCTCTCGAAAGTTTTATCAGGTGTTCATATCTTATTTATTCTCCAGAATCGACTACAACACAAGACACCACAACGATGTCCACCACGGAATCCACTACCTCACATCCAACCACAACTACTCGTAAGAAAACTTCATTTACACCATATCTCTCTCTTTCTCTCTCTCTGTCTCTCTCTCTTCTCTCTTTTCTCTCTCTCTTTTTTCTCTCTCTCACCATACTCACCCTTTACGTGTACAATTTTCTTATTTAAGTCATTAACGCTCATTCTCTCTCTCTCTCTCTCTCTCTCTCTCTCTCTCTCTTCTCTCTTTTATTTTTTTTTCTCTCTCTCTTACCATGCTCAAACTTTCCG